TGAAGCCCCGCCCCCAGGGTGACTATACTTGGAGTTAAGTCCTATAAGGAAAAAATGTAGGCAAAATGGCACCTGAACCAGAAGAAAGCTGCTAAGATCCTGCAGTCTCGCTCCCAGGAACTGAAGGGGAGGTCACTGGGATGCCTCCTGGCCTGGGTGCGTGTCCAGAACTCCTCTCGTGGACAGCATACTTGAGACAACTATGAGAAGTTATCATTGTCAGTGTTCGATGACTAAGTGGAGGTTTGGGAAGCTGAATTCACTTTCCCTCAAACAGCAAGAAGCAAACTCCACGTTTAGCTCTGAGCTCACTCTGAGCCTCCAGGTGGTAGGTAATTTTTTTTCCTTGACAGTTCCAACATTTTCTCTGCTGTTCAGCCCTAACAAGCCACTTGGAGTCTGCTCCTCATCTACAGAATGGGAACAACAATATCACTTTGCTGGGCTGAAAGGAGAGGGTGGCCCAGCACACTTTCACGTGGTAGATGCTCAGAGGTGCTGGTGGCGCTGAGGATAACTGAGCTGATCTTCAGGTGCAGGGCCTAGAACAGGAGTCAGTTATGAAGCAAGGAATTTCTCTCCCTGCAGGAGTGCCTTTCATTTCTTCTCAGGGTCAACACGTCTAAGTACATAATATTTTTATTTGACAAATATAAAAGCAAATGGTCTCTCGGCCTGAGAGCAAAACCCTTCATTGTTCTCTCTTATGTTTCTACCAGTATTAAGCTTGGCTGTTTTATCCAGATTTTCATAAGTTCCCTAAGGAACAAAAGCTCATCGTGCATCAAATATTTGCTGAGCACCTACTAGGGCCTGCATGGTGCTGGGTGCTGGGATGTGATGGCAGACAAGAGGCCTGATCCTTCATGGTACTTCTTGTGAAGTAGGGGAGATAAGGCATTAAACCAATAAATGTCATCACAAATGTGGTGTGTCACACAAAGTGCTTCTCCATCTTTTTAATTTGAATGAAAATTGCCTACATATTCCCCATTTCAGAAAGATTATATTGAATAATCTCTTTCCCAAATCATTATGTGTCAAGAACACGTTAACCGTCAATCAGAACTCATGATTAACAAAAGTCACTGTCAAAGACATTCCCGATTAACTAAAGTCCCCTGTCAAAGGGGAGAATTCTAACATCAGATTGACATACAAAACTGGATGGCAGGTAAATATACAATTTTCAGGTTTTGTCTCTGCTTTTATTTTCATAAGAGCTTATACACACCTCGGCTACCTTCACTGACTCATGGTTTTCAAACTTGATCCTCATCAGAGACACCTGGGTGTGTCTACTGACCAAACCCAAAGTTTCTGAGTAGGGCTGGGTGTGGGCCTGAGAATCTGCATTTTGTGTAAGTTCCCTGGCAAGGCTGCTGCTGCGGGGCCAAAATCTACTATTTGTTTGGTGTTAATGGGATTGAACTCAGAGTCTCACACGTGCTAGGTAAGCATCTAACACTGAGCCACATCCCCAGCCCCCAAGTACGACAAGTTGAGAAGCATCACAGTAGACTAAGAGGCAGAATCTATGCTTCAACAAACTTACAGTTAGAGGGAAGCTCACAGATGGCATAGGCCAACTTCCCCAAGGGACAGATGAAAACCTGAGTCTGTAGTGGAGCAGCAGCTCTTTCAAGGATAAAGTGAAAAAGTCAGGCAGGGTCCTAAGTGCAGGGCATGGGCCTCTGTATGACACAGTCTCCTGCCAACCCACCTGCTGAGCCCCCAAAGACACTCCCTTCTCACGGGATTCTGAGGTGACAGTGATCACAATCCCCAGAGATATGTCATGATATAATGTCTTGGACTTTCTTCAGAGTAATCCAGCAGGTGGGTGGTGTGGGAAGACAGGAGATGGAGGAAAGAAGATTGACCAAATGTGGTCAATCATTGAACTGGGTAATGATACTAATCCTTCCACTCCTGTATGTGTTGGAAATTCCCCATCCTGAAAAGTCCCAGAATCGGCTGGACTAAGATTTGAATTGCACACTTCTAGGAGAACTTGGGTTTCCTATGCAGGCCCTGAAATAGGCTCCTCTCCCTCACAAAAGCAGACTGTGCACATCTGCAGCATGCTGAGCCCTGGCAAGGCACCAGAAGAATTCAGACAAAATTAGGACACAAATTTATGTCCCCAAGAACCACAATTTGGTGGGGTAAATAAAATACAAATTACTGTGTTTCAAGGATGAATAAGAAATGATTAAAAGCAAGCAAAGATCCACAGAGTGAAGAAAGGGGTACCCCCCCCTCTGCTTTATGTCCCCTCCTGCCCCTTCCTACGGGCAGTCAGGTTTTAGAAATGTGCATTCCCATAGGTCAGTGACACTTTATCAAAATGGAAACAACATCAAAAGCACAGATAAGAAAAGCCCACCAATCTGCCATAAAAATAGTTAAATTATAATTGATCCACACAACAGAATATGAAATCATTGTCTTAAATGACAATAAAGAAGAAATAATATGACTGGCAATATTCATAATGTAATTATTACATGGAAAAAAACAGAAAGTGACAAACTATATTTCCTACAATATACAACCTTGACCAACTTTTACAAGCATAGAGAATTTTATTTTTATAGCAGGAAAAAAATATGCCAAAGAGTTCACAGTAATTATATATGGATCTCTGGGGGTTTGGAACTCTTCTGTATATTCTGAAATTTTATGTCACAAATATATGTTGCTTCTACCATAGCCTTCTCCTGACATTTTTTCAGTGTAATTATCTTTAAAGTACTATAATTTAGCTATGTATCTAGAAACTGACCTAAAAGCCAAGAATACCCATTAAGCATTGAATGAGCTGAGAGGATTAACTATCTGGAGTCTTTATGAAGGGATTAGAGGTGCACAGACCTTGGGAATAGACTGCCCAGGGTTCCAAGAGCTACTCTCTCGGTTATTCCTAATAATCAGCTGCCCCCACAAAACCCCAAAAGGTTTCCTTCCCAAGTCTGTAACATCAGGCCAGAGGGGAAACAAGAGACCATTAAGCAAGCGCCCTGTCGTGAAGGACCACACCCCAGCCTTTGCTATAAATGTCCTGATCTCTCTGATTTTGATTACCACGTCTAGGTATGGAGCTCCGGCCACGAGGAGGCGGGGGATCTGACTTATCTCTTTACATCACACTCTATCTTCTTCCCATTTGGATTTTCTAACATTTTATTAGCTCTACTTTGATACTGCCTCAAAAGAATCTGGACTCTTTAAATAATTCAAAGTTGAAGCCCCAAACTAGACCACAATGTTCATAAAAAGGGAGTTTTCTAATGTCAAAGAAAATGGCAGTCCTAGAACAGCCACATACAATGCCTCAGGAGCTCAGTGAATTGCTCACTAAATGAAAGAAAGAGATATTGATTTTGTATTAAGCATAGAAGCCTTTAAACAAGCTCCATGAGATTATAAACTCCCACTTTAAAAAACAGCAAGACAAAAATACCAATATTTTTAAGGTATATCTTCAGATTACCTGCCCAGTAAAAGATTTCAGGTACTGGTGATGAATGTGAAACACTTTAAGCCACGTAAGCAACCTGCAATACAAGCAAGGAGAAGCAGGGAGGCAGTTTCAACCCATGCTCACCTTTTGCTCCATAAAGAGTGCTTGTCCCAGAATGAAGAACAGAACACCTCATTCGTGCACTGCTGTTGGGGACTGACTGAGAATGTCACAGATCACACTGAAAACTTTAAAAGAACCAGACAGATTTCAGCCTGAGAAAAGACTCCCAGAAACATCTCCTCACCTTTGTTTCACGTGGTTGCTTCACATTTTAAATCTAGTTCTGTTTCCTCAAAACAAACTTTTCTGAGGACTCAGAAAAAGTGCTTCGGAAACAATGGATCGGTTATAAACAAAGTCAGCAAAACTGCCCAGAAACTGAAGAAACCCTAAGAAAACAGTTGCGGGTGGGATCTAGCCAACCTTTAAAACTCTTAGCAACTTTTTTTTTTTCAGTGCTGCAAACTAGACCCCAGTGAACCCGACATTTATATAAGATGGAGCTCAGAATCCGCTTGCCTAACACCCCCCAATAAATGAGAAATTAAAGTGCTCTCAGTGAGAATCCGAGTGTTTATTCAAGTTAAATTTACACATTTATTGTTTTAAAGCGATAATAAAAACGCTTTCAAGGCCTGAAGTAACACTGACCTCTATAATAAAGGCTGATTAAAGAAAAGCTTCAGTATATAAAGTAGGTGTTTCCTCTTTTCTCATGGTCCTCATGACCAAGGATCAAAAGAGCGATGACAGCAAAATGGTCTGGCTTCCTTCCGAGTGAATGGCGGGTCTTCTGGCCTCCCCCACCCCTCCGCCACTGCCGACCGCCCTGGCGGCCACACACACACACACACACACACACACACACACACACACACCCCTCTTCTTGGACTTCAGGGTAGCAGCCTTTGTTCCCAAGTCCCCAAATGGGATCCAGTTACGAAGCCCCTCTTCCCTGAACCAGTCTCTCCAAGTCTCTCTTCAAAGCCTGTCCCAGGGCTGCTCCTCTTCCCATCTTCTCCCGTGTCCCCAGTGCTGCGGGAGGTGTGGCTGCCACCTCGGCTCCAAACCGCCTCTCTAAATTACAGAGAGTCGGACGCACCACACACTCCCGAAACAGTCATCACCAGTACCACCACTGTCATGTTTAAAAGCACCCACCTACAGAGCGCTCGCCATGCGCCTAGCGGGTCGCCAGCGCTTTGCGCGCGCCAAGTCGATGTGCCTGTCCCCTCTCTGCGTGTCTTCTCTCGGTTCGTTCCCCCCACCACCACTTCTCTCCAGCAGCCCGGTCCCCACACTCGCTCGAGGCTGAGCCACCTCCTTCCCCGGGGCAGGGATGGAAAGTGTCCCGCGCCAGCCGCGCGTCCCAGACCCGCCGGAGCTGCTTGGTGGGGCCAGCGGAGTTCGAGCCCGGAGCCCACACGCCCCGCGCCACCGAGCCCTGGCCGCTCCCGGCGGCCGATCTTACCTCGGGTCCTTTGTCCTCCGGCCGCCGGACCCCGCCGCCCAGCGCCCGCCGCCGTCGAAGGGCCAGCCCAGCCTGCAGGCTGCGCTCCCAGCCGCCTCGCCCGGCCCGGCCCGAGAGCGAGGCGCTCGGCAAAGCCCGGATCTCTGGAGCCCCAGCCGGCGCGAAGGACTCGACCCCTGACCCCCGCCGCCCCCTGCAATCCACTTCTCCGGGTCTTCCGGGCGGCCGCTCAGGAGGCCGGCCAGTGGGCTCCGCCGCCTCTGGACCCCGGCCGGGACCAGGTTGGGGATGAGGGCGGCTCTGGGCGCCAAGCGTCGGGCCAGAGGCGGGTGACACCAGCAGCAGCGGGGCCCCTGTCTGCGCCCCAATTTTAGCCTCCCGGGTCCTAGTCCCCGCCAAGGACGCAGTTCCCCCTCTGCAGTGTCCGGGTGCCCGCGCCCCAGGGAAGGCCACTGCGCAGGACCGCCCTCTCGCTCCTCGGCAGATGCCTGGGTCCCGTGCCCGCGCCCCCCTGGATAAGTCCAGAAAGAAAGGCCGCCCACACCTGGGGCGCCGGCCAGTATCCTTCCCTCTCCGCCCTCAGAGAGGGACTCCTCCCAGCCTCGACCCGTCCTGTGCCCAGGTGCACGCACCCCGCCATCCCCGCGCGGCCACGCTGGACGCCCCCTCCCCCCCGACTGAGCACCGGAGGGGTCTGGATGGAAGTTGGAAGAAACCTCGGAGGATAGAGGTCATTTTGTCGCTTGGAACGCAGGCGCCCGGAGGGGACGCAGCGGGTCTAAGAGGCAGCGGGGCGGAATCCAGGAGACCCCAGTACCTTACTCAGGCGGTCCCGGCAGAGTCCTGAAACCTCAGCGCCCGCGGGTCCCTTAGGTGCAGTCCTGGACTGACGGCGGGACCCCCTGCGGCCCCTGCCCTCCCCTACCTACCGCCGACCCGCTCGACCAACACGGTTTGCAGGGGCGAGTGGAGGGGCAGCGCCTGAGTCCCCAACCAGTCGAGAGCGGTCAGCAGTCCACGGTAAGGCTGTCGGAGGCCCGCAGACTAAAAAGAAGATTCTTGAACTATGGGCACCTGTGGGTGGAATCTGAACAACTTTTCCTGGTGCCAGTGTCGGTCAAAAGGGTGAGTGAAGAAGGAAGGAAAAAGCAAACCTCAAATGCTGTGTTGTAGTGCCGCCGCACGCCTGTGATCCCAGTGGCTTGGGAAGCTGAGACAGGAGAATCTCAAAGCCAGCCTCCTCAGCAAAGGCGAGTTGCTAAGCAACTCAGATCAAATACAAAACAGAGCTGGGGATGTAGCTCAGTGGTCGAGTACCCCTGAGTTCAACCCCCGGTACCATAGATAGATAGATAGATAGATAGATAGATAGATAGATAGATAGATAGATAGATCTATCGATAGATGGATGGATGTATTGTGTTCATCTACAATGAAAAAAATAAATATATAAAAAGTATATTAAAAATCATTGCGCTGCAGACCTCGCTGGTGGCCACTGCAGAGGTGGCCCACAACAATGAGGAAAGTCGAGTAAAACTCAGGACAAACGGAACTTCTTTTTCTTTCTTTTTTAAAGCAAAAGACTGACGTCGGTGTTTTCAGGAACCTGCCAGCAGCAGAAGGGAATCTGGAGACCCCCCCTGTACCTTCCAGCCACTCACTCTGAGGACCCCAGAGGGCTTGGACCAGTGTAAGGGCCAACTTCCTTGAAAGCTGAGGAGAAAGTCACAGTAGGACCCTGAGTGGTTAAAGGAGGAAAGGGGTGAGAACACAGGGCCCAGCAGAGGCCAGAACGTGTCTCCAGAAGGAATCTCTGGGGGTCTCTGTACTCTGATGGCAGCACCATCATTTTCCTTTTCTCCTTTTCTCCTTATGAAATATTTTGAACACACCAAACTAGGGAGGGTAACATCATGAGCCATGAGCCCAAGAAACTGCCAATGCCAACATCCTGCCGTACTGGATGGAGGTGTTTATGTAAGAAAATCAGTATGGCAGTACAGCTAAAGCCGGTGACAGCCCTCCCACCCGTTTTTCCCTCCCCATTCCAGCCCTAGGACTCTTCCAAAGTAGCCCATCCGTGCTTTTATGCTTTCAGTTTGTATGCATGTATTCATAACCTACAGAGCACTTTTACTAGCTTTACAACTTTCTCTGTTATCACTCTTGCTCATTATCTAACCTGGTTGTTTTGTTTCATTCCGCCCTGGGTCAGGTTTGTAAGATCCGTCTGATCGTACACACAGATCTAGTTTATTCATTATACAGCTCAATAGTATTCCATTACATGAAAATGACACAATTTACAATGACTGAAAATGTCTTCCGTTGATGGCCATTTGTTTTGATCAAGATTATATAACAAGAACAGCAGTTAAAACTCTTGAAATTGCATTTGTTTCCATTGAAATCACTCTGGTAAAAACATATACAGAGTAACTATGTTGCGTTAACATTAATCAAAACATTTGCTTTGTGGTTGGGGTTAGTTATTAGCACACTTGCTAAGCCAATTATCGTTGCAGGAAATGGCCTTACATCTTTCCCCTTTGTGGACAGCTTATTTCTTTTTAAGCAAATAAAATCATATAGAACAGGGGTCAGCCAACTTTCCATAAAGGTCAAGAAGTAAATATTTTAGACTTTGCCAGTTAAGAAGCAAAATTGAGGTTAAGTTGTTATAAAACTATTTTTAAAATGTAACCTTTTAAAAATGTAAAAAGGATGGGGTATAGCTCAGTGGTAGAGCACTTGCCTACCACGTGTGTGAGACCCTGGCTTTGATCCCCAAGACCGCCAAAAAAAAAAAAAAAAAAGAAAGAAAAAGAAGAAAAAAGAAAGAGCCTCCCTCGTTAGGCTTATGGGTTGTAAAACAAAACCAAACCAAACAAGCAGCTGAGCAGATTTGCCCAACCCCACTATAGAAGAAAGACATTCCAAAAGTTACTTCCTTTCATTAAAAAGGCACTCACTTTCAATAAATACAAAAACACTTTGGCTCAACAGAATGAAAGTGAATACAATGTTCTAATTAGGAAACATTTCTTATAGAGATGTCCTGTATATCTTAACTATTTATTACAAAAACTTTGGGGGGGGGAGATTTAATCCAATTTTAGACTTTTGGAGAAAGATTTAATCTTATTTTTGAAGATCTATAATGAATTTTAGAAATGGATAAACTCCTGCCATTTAAGAAATAATCAGAAAAAAATTAGATTCAATGGAAAAGGTGTTATTTTCTAGTTTAATGAATCATTTCCCTGTTCCTAGTTTACTAAATAGCAGCACACAAATATAAATGATTTAGTTTCTTTTTCCTGGAGGTGAACCTGACCCACTTATTTTATGTCTTTATTGAACTTGGACCAAAATTTGAAAAAGTAATTTCAAGATAGATTCTTAAATGAGTTGAATCAACTTGATTCAAAATGTTATTGATAAGAATGGGGCCAAATTATAAAGCCCTGGTAGCCAACCTAAATCTTACAAAGGAGATGTCAATCTCCAAGCCCATTCAGTAAATGGAATTCTTCTCCAAGAGACTGTGGGGTCAGCAAGGAAATTAGACATGGCTTCTGGGCACCTTGTCTCTGCCTAACATTATCCTCAAGAGATGCACACATTCTCTCTCCCTCCCTCCTCCCCTCCCCCACACACACTCCTCTGTCTCACACCTGTTCACGTGCCTTTTCCCCTTACATGTCTGTCCACGTGTTACAGTGACTCCCTTCACACACATTCAATGCACACGATACATATGCTCACATATGTATGTAAACGCCTCTGCTTTATGGCTTTGCACGAAGCTCTTTTTCTCATATATCCATGCTTCTCAAATTTTTCTTTCTCCTTGCACCTATATTTCTGATTTTGTGCACCCAACTCTTCTCATACCTTCTCATTTCTACCGTACACACATGTCCACACCTCTCCACCAGATGCAAACTCATGCTGTGACACATTTGTGTATCTGCGCACCTCAGAACACATGCATAAAGATCTCCAGGCTCCTTCCTCTCCTGCCTTCCCTGGCAGCTCCTTCTCATTGTGGCACTCACCACAGCGGCCGGAAGTGCACATGGAGGCTTCTAAAGCTGTCATCCAGTTCCACGCTTCGGTGTTTAATGGGGCCGTTGTGCCACGGTGAAGCAAGGAATTGGATGAAGTCTTTAGAACCCCTTTGTGTGCTTCGGGCAGTTTGGAATCGTGTGGTTTTCCTGCCATTTGTTTCCATGTAAAAGCAGGCTTCTAAATGGGTTGAAAATACTTAAAGTTTATTCTCTCAGAATAAAATATCTAGAAACTACATATAACCCAGTTGATGTTAACTAGTACTTCCTTTGAGGCAAATGTGTCTTTCAAAATAGAGAAATGCTTAAACCTATATTGAATTGGCCTAAAATGTGAATGGGTAGATAGATGTATTAGTTTGCTAGGGATGCCATGGAAAAGTACCACAAGCTGGGTGGCTTAAACAACAGAATTGTGTTGTTTCACACTCTGGAGGAGAGACAGAAAGAAGCCCCAAATCAATGTGTGATCAGGTTTGGTTTCTTCGAATGGCGGTGAAAATCCATTCCGAGCTCCCTTGCTGGCTTGTAGGCGGCTGTCTTCCTGTCTTCTCTTGTCTTCCCTCTAAGCACACCATTCTCCAAATTTCCTTTTCTGTAAGGACCCCAGACACATTGGATGAGGCCCACCCTAATGGTCTATTTTTAATTTGATTATCCTTGTAAATACCCTGTCTCCAAATAAAATCACATTCTAAGGCACTGGTTAGGAGTTGTGGGAAAGTGTAACCAAGAACAGGGTTCTGCTCGGTTCTGCATGTGGCGATTCAGGCCAGAAATACTAAATTCCACCTGGATCAATAATAAGTCTGAGACCTGGATGGGACGTGGCAGCTCTTCATTTAAGCTCAAATCCAGCTGGACCCCCACCACTCCTACTCACAAGGCTCTTGGCCACACAAACCAAGAGATGCTATTCCATGGACTACCAAAGGTGAAACTGCTCCACCTGGTGGAGAGTCAGAGAACTTAATGCAATTTGAATTCTCTATAGTTCGCAAGTGAGGGCGGACCAGCTGGTAACAGCACTAGTAGTCTTCTTGGGTAACACAATATTAGATGGATAACACAAGGGAGGGAGTCAGAGGGGAGAAATGAATTTGGTGCAAACAATATAGTTCATAGAGGTATGAACATTCAAATAGGACCCATATTTTTATAGAATTCATGTAGAATACCAAGTAGTAATTCAACGCTGTTGGGACTTTTCTTAAAAATCTGGTTGGTATGTTGGTGCACACTAGCAATTCAGAACTGGGCTTCCAGATCAAAGAAGGTGAAAGCTTACCAGAGTTCAAATGAGAAGATACTTTGCTACAATAATGTGTACAGAAACAACACCTCTGCAGACACACAGTGTCATCTGAGGACCACTTTCCTAACTATAACAAC